GAGAAGGGGGGTGGGAGGGAGGAAGCCGAGGTGCCAGGACCCTGGCGCCCTGCAGCAGCCTCCTGCCTGTGCCCTCCCAGCGCGCGCGGGGCTGCAGGCACACGCAGCCCTCTCACCTTGTGCAGGGACTCCAGCTGCAGGCGGTCGAGGCTCAGCTCTGCCTTCACCTCCTGCGTGTGCATCCTGCGCATGGGCTCCCGGCTGGGGAAGTTCTTGAAGCTGCGCTATGAAGTGGCGGCACCGCAACGGTCAGCGTGCCCCGAGCAGGAGCACTGCACGCACGGTGGTCCTGGCGGCACCAGAACCACAGCACGGGCAGGTGCTGCTTGGCCAGGGGACGCGTGTCACCCTCGGGGTCACCCACCAGACAGCCACGGCCAAGGGCAGCAGGAGCCAGGCCCCAGGGAGGGCCTGGGCAGGGCGGCTGGAGCGTGGCAGACCCGAGCCCACCCCACCGGTGCCTCTGCAGCAGCTCTGACACACACAGACTCACCCCCGCCTCCCCAGGGGGCCCTTAGGCACAGCCTGGCCCTGGTGCCCCATGCCGGCACCTCCAAACATGGCCCGGCGCACCAGGGAGCGGGGGCCCAGGCAGGCCGTGACCCCCCAGACCCCTTCCCAGGGCTGGGCGCTCCTGACTGCTGCCACAGCCAGGACACCGAGAGCGCTGCTCTGCCCGGGGCCGATGCCCCCAACTATGTCCCCTGCGACCAGGCAACCAGGGGCTCCCTGCCTGGGGGACCCCAGCTCAGGCTGGCAAGGCAGCCAGGCCCAGGCTTCACGGAGGCCGGGCGGCAGAGCAGCCCATCCCCATGCTCTCGGGGCAGCCAGCCTGCGCTCTGCCGGAGGCGAGGGGCTGCCACATCTCAGCGGCATCTCCTGGCCCTGCTGCTCCCACTGCCCGGCCACGACCCCACCACGGGTCCCGCTCACAGTCAGGACCACCCAGCCCCAGGCCTGCCCCCTGCCCTCTCCTACCAGATCCGTGTCCCGGAATCGGATGTAGCTCTTGGTCACCATCTCACTGTAGAGCCTGGTCTTCGGCAGCGCCTGCTCGCCGCCCTCCGACCCGGTGGGGCTGCAGGGCAGCAGATCGGCTTTGTAGACCGGCTGCGGGCGAGACGGGGCTCAGGACAGGGTGGAGGGTCCATCTGCTCCTCCGCAGACAGGGACCACCAGGGACCGAGCGGGGCTGGTGGCCCCGGGAGCCCTGCCCTGCAGCATGGCGGGGCTGGGGCAGGGGAGAGGAAGGAGGTGCTACCATAAAGGCAGGGGACAAACAGGTCCAGGCCTGCCACACGCATGAGCCTAACCCCAAAGGTCCCATCTCCAGGGCCAAGGCTGCTGCCACCGCCCTTCCCCACCACACAGCCCCTGCCCGGGAGGGAAGGGCACAACACACACATGCACAGCATGCACACGCGTGTGTGGGGCAGCAGAGGCCCCGAGGCCGGCTCAGGGCGCTCTTCCAGCAACCCAGGAACACAACTCCCACCCTGCCCAGCCCCACGCGTGTCGCGGACAGGCCCTGCTGAGCACGACGGCGTCTTACAAATCTGCGGTCCGAGGATCGCTTGACGTTGAGGGGGTTGACAGCCAGGTCGGGCAGCACCGCAGCCACCAGCTCACCGGTGATGTCTCCTGCAGCCACCGTGTTCAGCCAGTCTGAGCCAGATATGCTCTGCAGGAACAGACGGCTCTAGGGCACAGGGTCCCAATGGGCTCCCCACCACCCCCAGCTGGGCTGCAGCACCGCAAACGCCAATGCCAACCCGTGGGGAGCACCCTCCACCCCCCGGGGAGGGACGGGCTCAGAAGCGCAGCCAGCTTGGACACAGGCGGGGACACCACCTCACATGGCTGCCACAGTCCCTCGTCCGAGGGGCAGGGGGTAACTTCCAAGAGCCAGGGCCTCACACGGCCGGGCGGCGTCATCCCCACCTGCGAGCCGTGGAACCCAGCTGGTGCTGGGTTTGGGGCAGGTGCCGACCCCTCTGGCATGGACGCCAGGACAGACCTGCCCTGCATCAGCCTCTTACCCACACGGTCCCCTTGCGAGGGGCCACAAAATAAGCCTTGAAGCCCAAGTACCCGGCGTCAATGTAGTGGATCCCACAGAGACCGTAACTGCAACAGAAAGGGAACGGATGAGGACGGAGTTCTGCGCTGCCACCCCGAGACTGTGAGAGCCAGGCAGCAGCCCACCTCCCCAGAGACCCCAGGACCCAGGCAGGTGGAGGGGGGCTGTCCTCGCTCTAGCAGCATGTCACAGCATCATGAGGCAGCTCAGGGCAGCTCCCAGAGGCTGAGAACACACCAAGGCCCCAGAACCCATCCACCCACCTGTGTCAGCCTGGGGCCGTGCAGGAGCCCCGCTGCCCAGCCCAGCTCAGGGGCCTCATCCTTCCCCTTGCCCCCCTGCTTGTGCCCCAGGATGGTGCGGCTGATGCCAGCACTGCGCAGCTGTGGCATGACCCAGCACGAGCAGGGCCTGCCCTGGCCATGGCACAGCCAGGTGCTCCCAGGGAGGGAGACCAGAAGGGGCCCCCGGGCACAGAGCGGGCACTGCAATGGCCCTGGCACTCACGACGCGTAGCAGTTGTCCTGGGCCACGGTGACCCCGTTGTAGGGCAGCAGCCAGGCCACCTCAGTGCTGAGGAACCGCTTGATGCTGTTGATGGGCTCGTAGAGCCGCCGCAGGTCCCAGAACTTGATCTTACGGTCGCTCCCTGCCGTGACCAGGAAGTTGCTGAGAACCAGGAGAAAGGCAGCACTGAGACCCCAGCGCAGAGCCGTGCCCCATCCCTGCTGCGGGGACGAGGTGGCCCCGGTCCCGCAGCACAGCGCTGCTCCCACAGGCAGTGGCTCAACCCCCCTCACCCCAGAAAGCCCAACCCAACCTCTTCGGTGCCTCAGAGGGCCAAGTGCCATCAGCACCGGGTCCTCTTAAACCCATCTTGGCAAAGGAGCCTCACCCGCAGGAGCGAGCCTGCTCTCCCAGGCAGCGCCTGCACCAGCGCCACCTCCCCTGCCCTCACCTGTCGGCCTTGCACCACTCGATGCTCCGGACTGCGTGGTCGTGGGCTAGAAAGCACTGAAAAGGGTAGAGCTTGAGGGAGCCATCAGGCTGGTGCACACACTGCAGCAGGGACTTGGTGAGCAGGTTCCAGACGGCCACGGTGCCTGTGGGACGAGACCCGTGCCCATGAGGAGCTGCCCCGGCAGCTGCCCAGTGACTGCACCAGCGTTGCAGAGGATGCCCAGTGCTGCAGCGTGGGACCCGAGGCAGCGCAGGGCTGGGGGATGAGCAGCGGCACAGGCAGGGGCTGCAGGAGCTGCAAGGCAGCGTGGCCGAGCCAGGGCTGGAGCTGGGGCTTAGAGCGGGACAGGATGGCTCAGGTACAGCAGGTCCGGGCAGCGCAGCACAGAGCTGCGGATCGCCTGAGGCCAGACACAAAATTGCATCCAGGCAAGTCAGACAGATGTGGATTAAGCCAGACCCACGTCTTGGAGCCAACAGGTAGGTGAGGGTGCCAATGGCCAGCCCACAATAAGCCTTCCCCCTGTCCCTAGGGGGGACTGTCCTAGGGAAGTGCCTGCCACTTGCTGCTGGTCACCCCGACGCTGTCCCCGTACCTCGTCCTCAGGCTCCCCCATTCCCTGCCCCAGGCCAAGGCTGAAGGAGCACAAAGCTCTGTGTGTGCGTCTGCCTGCTGCAGGGCAAGGGCTGCTCCCCGAAGGCTCTGCCGTGGGACACGAGCCCCTCTTGTGCAGGAGGGGACTCACCGTCATAAAAACCAGCTGCAAGGTGATGATGAGGCTTGGATGGCATCCAGGAGAGGCTGAAGCACTGGCCACACTCAGACGCATTCCCTGCCTGGATAGAGCCCACCTGGAGCGTGGCAATACACTGCACCTGAAAGCCAGAGGACAGACATCAGTCACAGCCCCATGCTGGTGCCATCCGTGTCCCAAGAGCCGGGGACACCCAGGTTTGGGAGCATGGCTCGGCTCTGCTCTGCCACCCCAAACACTCGGGGCCAGCGAGCTCTGCAGGCGTCCTGACTCCCTCCCCAGCTCTCCCACCTGCACCAGCCAGGAGGCCCGATGGGTGCCAGCCCCGACGGGGGACCGCGCAGTGGTAGAGGACACTGACCTTGCAGATAACATGCTTGTGGAAGGACCCATCTAGAAGAGAGCAGAGGAGGGTCAGGACAGGCAACAGCTCTCCCAGAAGTTCCCTGGGGCAGGAGCTGCTCAGCAGCCCGGAGCCTGGCTCACTGCTCCCCACGGCCCTGGCCAGGACTCCCAGTCCCTGTCCTGCCACCCATCCAGACCAGCGTCTCCACTGCAGCTGACAAATGGCAGGCACGCACACCCAGCAGCAGAAAACACAGCACATGGAGCAGCAAATCCAAGAGCAGGCAGTGGCAGGACCTCCGGGAGCCAGCCCTGCCTGTGCTGGTGGAAACGGCACCCTGAAAGGCGCTGCCAGCAGAGATGGGGCAGGGCTGACACTCCTCCACCCCAGCAACCTTCACCCCACTGCGACCAGCTCCCTGCCTTGACGGAGAACGTCTTCACCAAACTCAAGGGGACCTGGTGACACATAGGGGCCAGACCAGACCGTGACCGCCCTGGGGGGGAAAGGAGCAGCTGTGCGGGACAGACTGCTCCAGCAGGCAAAGGTGGCCAAGCTGGCCAAGGCAGCTGGCGATGGGGGCTGGAGCAGCCCGGGCAGCCACTCCTGGGGAGGGCAGAGATCCCTGTGCCCAAACGGCTCAGGACAAGGTGCCTGCAGGACCCCCCCACACCTCTGGCAGCTTTGTCTGCCGGAGAATCTCCCCTGCCAGCAACACATGACACGAGCCCCCGTCCCGTGCCTCTCGGGCCAGAAGGGCCCCCCTGTCCCCCAGCGCAGGGCTGCCCTCAGGCACAGCGAGCACCAGACAAGCACGTCTGCGCCCCGGAGCGCGGCAGCCGCAGGCAGAGGCGGTGCTGTGCAGAGATATGGAGGAGCCATGCGTCTTCTCTGGCACCTCTGTGACAGCCAGGGCACGGCACGGAGAGCAGCCCCAGGCTCTGTCAGGCAGAAACACCGGGTGCAGGTACCTGCAGCCCCAGGGAAAGCCAGCACAGCCGCGCCGACCCAGGAGCTCCCAGCAGGGCCCTGGCACACCGCAGTCTGGCACTGATCCTGCGGCTGCAAACCAGCACCCCCAGCCCAGCTGCGAGGCACAAGGACAGTACGTGCAGCCGCAGCCAGGCTGACGCTACGTGACGGGACCCAGCCTGTCCGCAGGAGCTTTGCAGGCTGGGGAAGGATCCGTGCCTGCCGCAAGCTCCTCACGTGGGGGCTGCGGCAGCCAGTGCAAACCACCCGCAGCCGGCACTCCGCGAGGGGGGCGGGAAAGGCAGTGCCAGCGGCCGGTGCAGGGCCGGTGCAGGCAGCAGCACGACATGCTGATGAGGGTCGGCAGCTGCGCTCGGATGCAGGGAACCAATTTCCCATTGTCAGCCATGGACACGCAGGCTGTCGGCCATGGCTGAGTGACCACGAGCAGCACGCACAGGTCATCAATCTCGCTCGGCGCCCAGCAGATGAGACTATTACAAGCACCATTAGCCCAAGCCAGCTGAGCGCTCAGAGCCCCAGATCCCTGCTATGACAAACAGCTCGAGCCGGGCTGGAATAAGCAGCTCTGCCACAACAGGACACAAGCAGAGAGGTGGGAAAAGGCTTGGGAACACACTACTGCAGCTACGCCTTGACCTGCAACCCCGCTCCAGTCACAGCAACGCTGCTGAGAGCGCCCTCCCAGTGTGCCCAGCTCCAGGCAGGGCTGCCCCAGGAGCCATGCCCCGGCCGGGCTGCTGCAGTGTCCCCCAGAGACTGAGCTCACCTCTGGGTCAGCAGTGCTTTGACATCCTCTGACATCAAAAAGCAGCCTCCCTCCCCTCCCCTGCTGTGCCTCTCGGCCAGAAGCCAGCCCAGGGGCGGCAGCAGCACGGATCGCTGCTGGTCCCAAGCCTGGAGGCGTGCTGGGACTCGCTGTCCCACTGGACGCAGCTCCCGGGCAGGGCGGCGCTGGCCTGGGCACGGTCCTGCGGCATCTGGTGAGTGGGGCCTGCCCCACGGCCATGCCCCTGCCCTGCTCAGCACCCTCGGCACAGCAGGCTCCCTCCCGCACGGGCAGAGGGGCCCCAGCCCCGGGGCTCGCACACCTCCCACCCCGGCACGGTGGGACGAGGGCCAGGACACCCCTGCCCAGCGGCGCGGCTCTTCCTACCTTTTACCTGGGTTCTCTTGGAGCGCTGCAGGGCCTCAGGGTGCGGGAGGGAGTACAGCAGCACCTTGCCATCCGAGAAGGCCACAGCCAGCAGGCCCAGCCGGCTCATCTGCGGGTGCTGCGGAACGACACACAGGCTCAGCCCCGGGGTCACCATCTGAGGGCCACAGGGTCACCCGGGAAGGCAAGGCTTCAGCTACAACACAGACTTAGGAGCCCCAGGGAAACCAAAAGTGGCCCCCAGGGCCTCGGCAGCCGTTCCGGCAGCACACCCACCTTCCTGGCGGTGGTGGGAAGCTCCCAGGCACCGCTGGGGCAGAACTTCATGTCCCAGACGCAGCCGTGATCGGCAGCAATGGCGTAGGCAAGCTCGGCTTTGTCGGCAGAGCTGCAGGCATGGGTTGAGCCATGAGGAATGCGGCAGCTGGTGCCCAGCAGCTCCAGTATACACCAGCAGCTTCCAGTGCATGCCAGCAGTGAAGCTGGCTACCAGCCCAGGCCCCGTGGGGTTCAGGCCGTGGCTGGCAGCTCTGGGAGAGGATAAACCTCCCCACCCGCTCAGCCATGGAGGGACAAGAGGTACGGGCCCTGCCCCGTCCCTGGGAGCCGGGCAGCCCCCAGCCCCTTCCCCAGGGGGCCATTCCCCAGGCCAGGCCACTCACCCCTGCTCATGCTGCAGCGTGCCCAGGCCCCAGAGCTGCAGGAGCGCAGGGCCCCCGTGGAGCCCAGCCACGCTGTGTGTCTCCTCCATGCTCCCGTGGCAGTAGAGAGCCACGTACTGAGGGGCCGCCGAGCCCTCCGGGGACGGGCACCACTCCATTGCCCACACAGGGCCGCCCACGAAGAAGGACACGTCCAGGCGCTCCTCGTGGGGCTGCAGGGAGTTGAACCTGCCAGCGGGGAGGTGGGTAAGGGCACGGGGCGAGAGCGGCAGGGCCGCCCACGAAGAAGGACACGTCCAGGCGCTCCTCGTGGGGCTGCAGGGAGTTGAACCTGCCAGCGGGGAGGTGGGTAAGGGCACGGGGCGAGGGCGGCGCGCCGCCGCAGAGGGGGAGCGCGTGGGCTGGGCAGGGCGGCGCCCAGCCAGCGCAGAGCCCTGGCACAGGGCCGGGGGACAGCGGGATCCCAGGGCACACTGCACGGGCTCGCTGCTCAGCCCACGGCCGCTCCTGCCGCCCGGGGCAGCCACCTGGCCCTCAGACCCAGCAGGGCCACGGCCCTGGAGGTGACTGCCTGTCCCAGGCACGACACCCACAGCCCCAGCAGTGCCGCGGGGCGGCCCGTCACAGACCTGTTTACCCTGTACAAGACACCGTCGTCTTCGATGCCCTCCCGCTGGATGGAGAAGAGGGGAGACTTCTCCTCTGCCGGCAGGTACGGGGCAGCTTCGCTGGGGAGGCAGAAGAAGATGAGAGGGCGCCTCCCCACCCACCAGTCACGCCTCGGCGCAGCACCATGCCGCAGCACCCGTCCCAGCCTCCACACAGCCTGGCGTGCCCTGCTGCAGGCCACCCTGAGGGCTACTAAGGCTCCACGGCCAAATCCGTGAGACCCCCCCAAAGCCCACAACAAGGAAGTCCCATCCTTTCTGCTGGGGCGTGATCCCACCAGAGGGATGGGGGAGTACGGCACCCACCATGCCCTCACTCTCCCCCAGCTCCGATGGCTACGGCCACCCGCTCTCCCCGCCCCAGCTCACCCCAAACATTGCCGAGACCTGCCTCAGCATGCAGCCCGAGCGCAGGCAGCGCCTGTGCCGCGCATCCCTCCCAGCCCCTCCCTTCCCACGCCGCTCCGAAGGCACCTTTCAGACAGACACGTCCACTGTTGTGCCAAAGGGATCCAGTCGGGAAACTCCCACTGCGAGTACTTCTGATCCCGCCTGCAGCAGATGTGCCAGACGTCAGCGACAGCCCTGCTTCCCGGCCCCGCCTGCAGCACAGCGAGCCTGCCCGCACCCTGCCTGCGGCACAGGCAGACCCACGCCGAGGGCTCTCAGCCCCTGCCCTTCCCCACACCCCTGGCTTGGCTCAGCCGCTCGGCCCACCACGGTGCTTCCCGCAGGTGACGGGGCCCCATCCCAGCAGCCGCCAGCAGAATGCTGACATTCCCGGCAGCACGTGCTCCTTTCTCCTCACGCCTGCGATAGCGATGGTACGCAGGGCACCGACAGCCACCGCTCCCCACCGCCTATCCCGAACCCCCCAGCACCTCCTTAGGCCCCCACTCACAGGCTGCAGGTGAGGCTGGAGCACTTCTCCACTGGGGCCATGATGGAGTTGTGGAAGCCGTTGGGAGCAAGGCCTCGGCACTGGGGCTTGGATCTCTGGGTACAAGAGCAGACTCAGAGCAGGACCTGGCCAAAGGCCCGGCACAGGCTGCCTCTGCCTGCCCAAATGTTCCCACGAGCTCCTGGGGGGACCTGCCTGTCCTAAACGGCACCAATGGACCCCAAAGCACAAAGCTCTCCCCCAGCCACAGCAGCAGCAGTCACCAAGACTGTGTCACACTGGGCTAAAGACACAAAGTCCCATTCTGGGAGCTTCCGTGCACTACAGGACGGCCTCCAGGACCCTGCCCTTACCTCCCATCAGCTTCGGCAGGAGCCCAAGAGCCCTGCGCCCTCTCCCAGGAATATCTGTCACCCTGTCCCCATCCACCCTCACTCGGAGCTGCCTCTGCCCGCAGTGAAGCCCAAAGAGCTCATGCCCAGATTCACGGCTGATGGGCACTCTGCCACCCTGAGCGAGTCCTGCTTCAGGGCTGCCCTGTCCCAAACAGCCGGGGGTGGGGACACCACACAACAGCTCGGACACTGTGTTGCTCATGCTGGGCCAAAGGTAAGAAGCGACCAAGGCAGAGACCCTGCCCTTACCCCTGCGGACGACACCTTCCCACCGTGTCCTCGGAGCGCCTCCAGCTCTGGCTCTGACACCTCACTGAGTGGCGCATCGCTCCCCTCCTCCTCCTCCTCCGCCTGCAGCAACACCTCCTTCGAGGGCACAAAGTCAGCATCTCGCGCAGGATCATCGCTATCTGTTTCCTCCTCCTTCCTCTTCCGGCTCCGGCGCTTCTTCTGGACACGCTCAAGCTCTGGCTCCGGCTCCTGGGCACCCTCGGTGGGAGCCGCAGGCTGGTACGCTGATGTCAGCTCCTCTGCCAGCTCCTGCAGGTATAGCAAAGCCCTAGGACACCAAAGGCATTGCCCAGAGGTGAGCAGAGGAACCACACAGGGACCAGCCACCCCCCCTCCAGGACCAGGCAGACACACCGCTCCGGCTCGTGGTCTGCGTGAGCAATTTGCTCCAGCCCTGCTCAGCCCGGCTGCGGCAGAGCCCGTCTGGATGCACTGCCAGCCTCCAGGCCGGCCACTCGGACAGCCAGCATCCCCTGCCCCTCCCCAGGGAACGCCAGCCTACCCGGGTCTCCGGCAGCAGGCAGGGGAATGCACCCAGCAGGCAGAGCGGTGCATGGCCCTTTGCCAGCCAGAAAGTGGGAAAGCCAGAGATCTTCCTGCCAGTGCTCTCGGCAAAGGGAGCTCCCAGACCAGGCACCTCGCTGCAGGCGCCCCGCCCTCCCTCTGCGCAGCGGAGCGAGGGGACCGGGGCACTGCAACCCCGCCAGCTCTGCCCCTGCAAACCCAGGGCTCGCGCAGGCACTCGGAGAGCCCGGGCACTGCCTGAGCTGCCTTCAGCAGCCCCAGAGCCCACAGGCCCCCCCCCAGGACTCCCCTGCAAGCAGTGCATGGCTTGCTCCCCCCCCAGACAAGCCTCCTCCTGGCTGGTCTGGAGCCAAGGAAACCTCTTCCCCACCGCAGACAGCCCGTTGCTGTCAAAGACCCGCTGCATGTGAGCTCGTCTACAGCCCCTGCTGTTCCCCACATCCCCGTGCTCCTGGATCCAAACACATTCTCCTAAAATGGGAAAAGATTGTTCCACGGGGAACCAGTTTGTCCCACCAATGTGGGACAAAGTCCTTCAGGAAAGACACCGAGCCCCCCCCAAGGCGAGGCAGAGGTCTCAAGGAACTACTCTGAGAGCGGCACCCGCCCGTCCTTCCGATCTCCCCGCAGCACCCGTCCCCCCCCCCCACCCCCCCCCCCCCCCCCCCTGCCCCTGCTCCCCCTTGGGCCGCCCGCCTCTTGGGGCGCCCGGCGGCGGGGGTCTCCAGGCCTCCTGCTGCCTCGCTGCTCCCCAGCATCTTCTGCACACAGATGGGCTCCGAGGCCGGGCACTCCAGGTCCTGAGACAGTTTCAGCAGCAGCATCTCTGTCTTGGGCTTCCGCCCGCGCTTCCCGGGTGCCTTCGGGGGTGGCACAGACCCGTTCTCAGAGGTCCTCGAGGGCTCGCCCTGAGCCTCAGCCTCCGCAGGGCCTTGGCCTTTGGGGTCGCTAGGACTACTTTTTGGTTTTTGGTTTCGGACAGTGTTATTCTGGGACTTGGCAGCTTCTGTTCCCTCGTCAGAGCGGCCCAAAGCATCCGGATCTGTGAGCGGCGACGGTTCCCCTGCCCAAAAAGAACAGCCAGAGTTAGCACGAGACCACAGCAGGGCTCTCCCAGCGCGGCTGGGCGCAGCCACCGGCCAGGCTGCCACCACCCCGCCAGGCACCG